AATCTGACCTAAATTTTATCTTCAATATAGTGAAAACTTCTTCAATACTATTGAAACATCCTGTCGTGCATACATCTGTATCAAATATATCGGTGCAAAGCGTAAAATACCTTTGCAAAACGGACACCTTCTTTACAAAATAATTTGTAGTTTTATCATTTGTTAATCGATTTTGAAAATTTAAGTTTTAATGGAGAAGAATGATACTTTAGCGTAAAAATAGAAAATACATTCCGTAGTCCTGTTCTTATCGGCGATAAAGAAATGCAATACGACAAAATCGGCGGTAAAGTTCCGCGGCGCTGAACATAAAATGACTGAACGGAACGCATACCCTACTTGTAAAAATATGTCGTAGCTTAACCATTTTATATATAATTTTAAAAAATTAATGTTCAGTTTCAAATAATAAAGCTCATCTGTTCCCACCGATTATTAACAAAATGAATACAATAAAATCGGCACGTAAAAGGCATAATAACGGAATTGACGGAAATTGTTGCTAATTATAAGTAACAAAGGTAGGCATGCATACTTCTCTTCAGAAAGCAAGAGACCTTTACAAAATTTGTAATCCTTTTTTTTTCTTTAAAAAAAAACAACCAAAAAGCAAACTTCATTCCTGATTGATACAGGGTCCAGGAGAGGTTACCTTGGAATATTGACTTTTGTATCAAAATTCTGTAAATGAAAAAAGTAACCACCCCAATTTTGAACTCACGGGGAAAAGTTTATAAGCATGCTAAGGCAACTCTAGAACACGTTGTCATATAGATGTACGATAACGTATTTCAATGTACAAAAATGTATATTGCATTTGATACAGCTTTTCGGAATTTGTAGATGCTTATGACAGGAACTGAAAATGCGACCGAAATATGAAGCCTTAATAGACTTTTTACTACATTTTCCTTGTTTGTGGAACAAATGAGTGACCTCTGCTTTTGACTTAAGTTGTAAACAAGAAACGTTGTCGGACGTTGTTAGCATACCTAGCACATAATTTAATAGCTGAACCAATATGCACCCTGCAATGAAAATACAACTGCGTCGTATCATATTTTATTTTCAACTGCGTCGTATCATTTAGTAAAAATCATTATTTTCTTGGAAAATAAACATCTCTTTCTAATGAAATTTTAGTTAATGATGCAAATTCATATTTTGAAGTTTATGGTGAACTCTCAAACGAGTATACAATTGATTTCAAGGAAAAAACGATGGATAAAGCAATATGAACTGCGTCGTATCCACACATTTTCACAAAAATTCTGCTCCGCTTCGAGTTGCAAGTTCGCTATAACTTTTGTTTTACAAAATAGTTGTGCAAGCAACATATACCGAACGAAGCGGAAAATAGTGTAGCGTGCTAATACATATATCTGGTTTTCAGTCATTTCCAACAAAAATACTTATAATCAAAAACATACGTTTTTTCGTTTTTCGTTCCAAGATGGCGGCGTTTGTTTACATTTTGTAGGATACGACGCAGTTTTGATTCCCAGCCCTGTTTATAGTTGCCGCAACAATCCTGTGGACTAAACCTTTCCATTAAAACATATTTTTCTTTGATTTTGACCCCTGAATGACCAAAACGGATTTCTTAAATGAAGCATGAATACAATTATTAACATCATAATGTTGAGAATCAGTTTATATGGTAGGGAATAAAAGTTTACCCTCTGCATACATGCCATAATTTAATAAGCTCACCAGAGCTTGCTCAGGGTGAGCTTTTTGTATCGTTGAATATCTGTCATCCGTCGTCTGTCCACATTTGTTCGTTAACACTCTAGTGGTCACATGTTTGCCTCAATCATCATCAAACTTTGTCAGGGTGCTTGTCTAGGTAATTGCTCAGAGGAGTTAGAACATGGGTAATTTTCAATGAAAAACTAGGTCACAGGAGCAAAATATAGAAACATCTTGTTAACACTAGTGGCTTCTGTTTTGATCCAAATATCCTGGAAATTGATCTGAAAGTTTGTTTTAATGACTTCTAGGTCATGTTTGAATATGGGTCACATTGGGTCAAAAACTAGGTCACACCTATCAAATGTGGAAAACCTTTTTAACACTCTAGTGGTCACATTTTTTGCATCAATCATCATCAAACTTTGTCAGGATGCTTGTCTCGGTAATTGCTTGGATGAGTTTGAACATAGTCAGTTCGGATGAAAATATTGTTAACACTCAAAGTGGCTACTGTTTTAATCAATATATCCTTGAAATTTGTCTGAAGGTTTTTGATGACTTCTAGATCAACATCGAAATTAGGTCACCTGGGGTCAAAAATTAGGTCACACCGCCTAAATATGCGAAAAACTTGTTAAAACTCTGGTGGTCACATTTTTTACTCACTTGTCATCAAACTTGGTCAGGATGCTTGTCTAGTTTATAGCTGGAATGGTTTCAAAATTCAAAAAGGTCATTTATGATGAAAACCTAGGTCACAAGAGCTAAAAATATAAAAAAATCTTGTTAACCCTTTCCTTTATGA